TATCGTACATTACCACAGTTACATCTAATGTCATATGTATCTGCAGGTGCCTGAGAAAGACGAAGAAAATTTGCACATCTTGAAACCGGAGCCAAGGTAAAAGAAAATGAGTAGATCAAGTATTATCAGGACAAATAACTTGACAATGTTGGCTATTACTTATATCTTCCATGGTATTATTTTAGACAATATAATACCAAGAAAAAAGTGGAAAAAGAAGATTAAAAATTTAAAATGAAGACATGCCAGATATCAATTGATACATGACATTAGGATCTTTACATTTTAGTAAACTAAACTGACATTGTTAAAAATAAACTCTTAAACTATCCTACAAGAAAATACACATCATGTAATATCAATACAATAATAAGTAGAAAATTATTATTAAAATTTAAGTGATAATACTACAACTGATGGATTGATATCAAGCAGGGATTTATTATACTAACATACTAACGTATATTATATCCCTGATATCAAGTGATGCAGTGCAATCAATGGCAACAAGAAGAACACAAAAGGATACATGATCCAGCTGCTAGTTAGGTCACGTGCACTCTATTAGTATTAGGACGATCGAGTCGGGACACGACAGTTCCAGTTCAGGACGTACCACAGCACTCTCTTTCTCAAGCTATCAATTCAATTCACAGTCCCCCTTCTCTCAAGAATGTCTGCTTCAGGTATTGTAAAGCTTGTACTTGTATAGCTACATCCTTTTATATCATTTAGTGAATCCACAAGATCCTTTGGTTCAAAGAGAACTAACTAAAAGTAAAATAATTAACTATGTTACAGCTGGCATTAAAACTCTTTGTTTTATATAAAGGTGATCATGGTACTATTATGGATCTAATTGGCAAACATATAGCTTCAAAATATAAAGAATTGGCTGCACAATTCCGTATCCCTCAGGGTACAATAGACACCATAGCCTGCGATAACAGAAGAGCATGGGATGGACTAAATGATGTTGTTGCTGAGTGGCTGAGAGGAAATACTGAAGTATATGATAAAGGAGTTAGAGCTAGTGCAAGGTGGCTGTATGATGCTGTCAGAACAATGAATAAAAAACTTGGAACAAAAATTGCCAAAAGTAGATAAATAACTTGAAAATTAAATTTGACATCTCAAATGTTTTGCATACAAAATCTTTTTGTAGAGTTTGGGATCCCAGAGCAAAGTGATGGGTCCACTCAAAAAGGTAAGATCAGTTAAAGACACCAGACTAGAGATGATAAAATATTCCACAATCATGATGCTGTAGGAACAATTGATAAGGACCTTGCAGCAAATACCTTTGGTATTGCCAAAGGTATATTCTAAATCAATTTAAAATTAATTTTTCTAAATTCGATTTGCCAGACATCTTAAATACAAAATCTTTTTGTATAGTTTGGGCAAAGTGATGGGTGTGTAAGATTAGATTAGAAACAAAATATTCCACAATCACTTGGTCTTATCTCATTTCTATAGCAGACAAACTTTACTAACTTAACTTAGTTAGATCTACAGTGATCTTTATTTTTAATTACAATTACATTACAATAATTCAATACTTAAATCTAACGTCATATGTACACGTATCTGCAGGTGCTGGCGAAGATAAAGAAAATTTGCAGGAACAGAGCCAAGGTAAATGAACTTAGTTAGATCTACAGTGATTTTTATTTTTAATTACAATTACATTACAATAATTCAATAGTTAAATCTAACGTCATATGTACACGTATCTGCAGGTGCTGGCAAAGATAAAGAAAATTTGCAGGAACAGAGCCAAGGTAAATGAAATGAGTAGATCAAGTATTATGAACACAAGTAACAATGTAGGCTATCACTTATATCTTCCATATACTGTTTAGTCAGAACTTAAAAGTGGAAGAAAGACATGCCAGATCAATTGATGCATGACATTAGGATCTTTACATGTAGTGAACTAAACATTGTTTAAAATAGTTGTGCATTTAATAATATTTTAGTCATTTTTTGATGATACTGTACATGTACATGTAAATCCACATGCTATCCGCATCAAGCAAGAATTTTGTCAAAATGAAAATGCCTGACAAATATTTAAGGAGAGAAATAAACGCCATTACATGTACACAGTGGCGGTGCCAGGTCAATGAAACAGAGGGGGCACTATATCCAGGAAAGGGCACTATAATGTAGAGAAGAGTCAGTCAAGAATGGCTTGGAAGGCATTTACATTAAAAATACTAGTGCTTTAATTAGAATTTTGCCAACAGGGTGGGCCTGTGCCCTCCAGGCCCCCCCCCCCCTTAAAACCGCCAGTGGGTACATGTACTTACTGGTCCATCCATATTCTGGAGCTGCATACTTTATCTTTACATATCTGCATATCTTTATCTAATATAGACAAGGAGCTTAATATGGAAGCTGTCATGAATATATTTGATTCTTCTGCTCAGCATTGCATGACAATAGCAGCTGGATTGAATGTAAGGACGGCTGATCTGATGTCAACACCAGGAGCAGCAAATACCAATCTTATTATTGTATTCCAGAGGTGGTTTGAGGCTAATAGAGATGTCAATTGGGATGCATTAATAAAACTGTGTGATGACTATCCTGATAAACTGGGCAAAGCAAAATCTAACCTTCTGGCATATATAAGTAAGCTAATATAACCCAATACTCAGTGGCTCTTGTGTGTGTATAACTGCCATAAATACTTAGCTTTACTTTACTAACGTAACTTAGCTCTACATTCACATTCATTTCTTTACATTCAATAATTCAATAGATATTATTATGTCATAAATATTATTTTTGATTATTAATATTCACAATTAAATCTAATGTCATATGTATCTGCAGGTGCTAAGTGTGTTCGTGTTCATAATACTCGATCTACTCACTATACCATATAGCGGGAAAAGTTGGCGGAGTTTTATTTTGGTGATTGGCGGTTTGCAAGCAGAATCGCCAATATTAAAACCGCCAATCATTAATGCACATGCTTAGTAATATGCACATGCTTAGTAATGCACGTGTACACAAAAATTGCCAAATTAAAAACCGCTAATTAATTTTTACAGCAAAATTGCCAAAATAAAGCACCGCCAACTTTTCCCGCTATACGGTACATGTATATGGAATGCCCAATTTCCCAAATTGCATTTTACATTGATAATGGCATATACATCATTTTCTTTACTTTTAAAAGCAATGAGGCCATTCCAATCAGATTCATACTTTCATG